CTACTAAATATTTTGCTAACAAACAGAGTTAACGCCAAAATCCTACCTGAGCCTGCGTGCACGCTCATACACGTCATTCATTTCTGAAAGTTACATAAAAAATCCATTCAAGAGATTCATTAGATATTTTGCTAACAGACAGATGAGCAAAAACATCCTCACTCTGCCTCTGCGGTCGGACGATAAAACAAAAAAAAAAAAAACAAGGTCAACAGGAAAAGCTGTTAAAAAGAAAATACAATAAATTCAGAGCCGGAGTCATTAAAAAATGAAAAAAGAAAAAAAAAAGAGGTCAGAGCACTGATGAGAGGATCGTTACATAAAGGCGAGTCAATAAAAGCGAGTTTTAAGACGCACTTTAAAGATTATACAGTCTGCAGATAATGAACACTTTATCATCAAAGCAGCTCGCAAATGAGAAACRAGTTTTCATCTTCATCCTCAACATCTTTTCATATTTAATGACTCGACAAAAAAAAAGTTTGAGCTGTCACTCAAACTGGATCTCCTCCATGGGTTTATATACGGTTTACTGGTCTTTGASTCTCTTTAGAAGTGACGTTTGACAGTCAGCCCGGTATAAACGGTCTTTGTTCCACCAGCGGGAAAAAACAGTGCCGTTTCCAGTTACCGGGGGCTTTTATTTTGAAAACTAGGGTGTCAGACAACTTCCTCCGGTTCTTACCTTTAGTTTGACACCTTACAAAAAATTTAAAAATGTCAAAAGACTTAAATTTCAGGAGCGGCTTTATGAATTATCTCAGAAAGTTCTGATTGAAACAGATTTATTTAAACAAACTGCTGTTGTTTTTTTACTACGCATTATGCTCCATAATCCAGATTTACTCACACGCACCCGTGTAAAAGATAAATTTCAGTCATCAACATTACTATAATCCAAAATAGAGACCAACAATAAACAATAATGATCAGAAACCATTTGTTAATACTGAAATAAATTAGCGTAACTAGGGCCGTGTATTGGCAAGAATTAGGAGATACGATATCATAACAGAGGGGTCACGATACGATATATCCCGATATATTGCGATTCTATAAGCGAGGCGATATATCATGATATAT